CATGTCATATATTATGCATATCCTTTTTCTCTTACAGGTTTTGAAAAGTCCACCCAACAGTCTTCTCCTGTATTTTGGAATTAAAGGAGTCATGTATGATGAAGCATTCATTGAAGAACATCTAAATGTGTATGTCCTACCAGACAATGAAATTTCAGAAGTGATTGATAGTGACTTAGAAGTTTTGGAGCAAGCTTTTCATCCTAAGCGTTTCATGAACCCTCGAAAGGAATTCCGTCGTATTCCGAAATCACATATTTTTGTGTTTCTACATGCTTCACATATAAGATGCTCCAGTGTCACTTTGAATGCTTTAGACATTGCCGGACTGGAACGTAATATTGTCACATCTGAAGAAAGTGTGGGTCATGAATGTCGTTACTGTTACGCATTTTTGCCTTATCTCCAAGACAATAGCATGCTTCGAGCAACTTTTTCAGGCAACGATTTGTTTGAGCAACATAGCCAGGCTTCTCCCATACCAGAGAATTCACCGTTTACGGCTCCTTTTGAGTTCTTTGGAACAGGCCGCAAGTACTCTGAAAATGTGTGGTCAGCAAGGTTAACCAATTCATTAAACAACTATTATTTCATTAAAGATTTTACTTTCTCAGGGAGAGATGCTATGAATTTTAGTAGTCATCAGTATTATTATTCAGGGCTCCCGTCAAGCTTAATTCATGCCTACTTTTTCCGAGGAACCCCTGATATAAAACTTTCTGAAGCTTCAGTAGTAACTTCTCCTTCTCCTGGAATAGAGGAAATTAGACAAGCTTCTGATATACATGATTCTTCTTTTGAAAATGACTCAATCGAAGAAGCAGCATTACACCAGACCGATGAGTTTCCCCCAAAACTGGGAGAGTTAATATCTGGTATGTACCTGTCTATTCAATTTAGCATTTTGCGTAAATTATTGGACAAAAGGCGTATAAGTGAAATTGGATCGATGTCACATGGTCTGTTACTAACTCGAAGTGCTGGAATGATTGGCCTGACTTTGCACATACCAGTAATGACTGTGTCTAATTATGGTGGTCGTCAAGTTTCAGTAAATGGTACTGATTTTGGTTGTTTTACACTTACTTCAAATCATATATGTTATGCGTTCCAAGAATATTTATTGAAAGATACAAAAGAACTGGCAGAAGTATTTCCACAACCTGCAGCAGCTGGTCTTGGACACCCGGCAGGGGTATTTAAACAATCGGATGAGGTACTTGGACAGTCGGAAGAGGAAGATACAGAGTAACTATGATGCAAAGGACTTAAACATTTTCCAAACTTTTATTACAAAAACTTTCAGTAATAGTAATACTAATAATAAGAAACTATGATAATGTACCCACAACTTTAGTACTACATCCATTACTTGATGCTCTTTTATTTGATGTTTTTAGTTAGTTCAATAGTAGTTTGCATATCTTGTGTGCTCTGTTCTTGCATTTCACCATTTGGTGTGTTAACGAGTTAGAGTAAAACACAAATCATCATGCACTATCAATATTCAAACAGTTGTTTTCACACTACATGCAGGTTGATAAAATAGCTCCAGAAATTTCCTTGCATTCTGCAATAATAATTAAATGTTTTCTAATCAAACAATTAATTATTCGTATAAACTAGATAAATTTTTGTTAATTTTCCTACTTCACACAGGATTGTTATTCTTTTCCTGTTTATCATCATTATAGTAAAGCATTACCTTTTGTACTATTTTGACTTTTCTTGACTAAAACTTTGTTTCAGACATTAATGTAGCCAGTTGTTGATTTATAGGGCTTGAAAAGACAAATCACCTACTTTGAGACAAAATTTTTTTGGAAGGTTGCATTTAACTTTTAACCTTGCTGTAGCACTAGCTAATTTTTGTATTAAGCACATCATTGCAGTTTTTTGGACTTTTCAAGTAAAACCTTGGATTTTCAGCTAAAACCTTCAGCCCCACCCCCTTATTAAGCATGCAGAAAGTATGTTTAGCTGATTATCTCTGTAGTTTTTTAACCAAATTTAGTACTTTAATTTTTTATAACAAGTAACTGTGTATGCCTACCTACTGATATCAGACAACTATCAGAATGAGACTACAAACTTACTTGAAAAAATATTTAACGTAATGAAACCTCTACATTGAGCCAACAGGTAAATTTCTCATCCCTGGATCAAATGAAAGGACTTTGACTATTCTAGCACTGTAAAGAGCCTGGCATCATGCTGTATCTGCATGTCATGCGCTGCATCAGTTAAAGTATTTTTAGTAATAATTTTAAATCAAAGAAAATAACACACAGCAATCATAAAAGTCATAAATATGCATGTGTTCTTATCTGCCTTGAATTTCACTCTAATCGTACAGAGAAACATAAAATGGAGAAATCATATTTTAAACTTACTTGAATGAAAGACTTAATGTCAGTAGTGTAAATCCTAACCTCA